CTCCTCCCCTCTGCCGAGTTTGTAATAAGGAGTTATTAGATAATGCAGAAATTAGGGGAATAGCACCTAAATTCATTAAGCAATAAAATTAATTCACGGGCTGTAATTGGATGAGCAGGAGACCGGTAATTCCTGTTCCCTTTGGTTTCACAGAAACTCCACCCCGGTGAGCGCTGGGGCAGCCGGAGGTGCCGGGCAGTGCCCGGCGGGGCAGGGCAGGGCAGGGAGGAGCTCAGCTCCGCTGCATCTCTGGAGCCAGCCTGACCTCTGCAGGGCTGCCCGCGGGACCTTTGCCACCGGCCTTTGCTTCTGACGGACTCTTAGTTTTCTGCGTTCCCTCCGGATGAGCCGCTGAAGGTTTATTGCCCTCCAGAGTCTCCTTTCTCAGCACGTCCCGGAGCAGGACCCTGCCCTCCCGCCGTGTGTCCCGGTGCCGCTGCCTGCTCTGGCATTCCAGTCATACTTCCCTCTCTCTCTGCCTCCCATGAAGTCACCACCTCTCCTCCTCCCGCTCCTGGCTGGCTCCGAGTGCCATGGCATGAGCGCTGCTCGCCAGCACTGCTTCCTTCTGGTGAGTGCAGGGAGATGATTTCTCCTCCCGACTTCTCCCTCAGGTTGTCCCTCCCTTTCTGGTTTGGAGCTGGAGCAGTTTCAGATCGGGAAGTCCACTCGCTGGGAAGTGCCTGCTTGGTAGTTATTCCTTCCAGCTGCTGCTCTGCTTTTGTTCTTGCCGTCTCTCCCACTGGCTCATCCCTGGAATTGTGTGTGAGAGATGAACAAACAGAAGGAGTTAATGGATTTCATTCCCAGTAATGAGGGTGAAATCCCGGTGATCTCTTGGACTAGCTGGGATTCACAGGAGCAGGTAATGCAAATGTAGAAACACCTCACTTGCAGAGTGCAAAGTAAACAGTGTTAATGTTAGTTTGTGTGATTGTTACACGTAACAACCCGCTCTGGAGCAGCGTCTGAGAAGGTGAATCAAAGGCACTGATGGTGGGTGGGTTAACCAGGAGTTTGGGTGCCAGGGGCTCCTCACAGCCTGTTCTGCTGCTGTCCTGAAGCCTTGGTGGGATCCCTGTGCTGCTCTGTAATGATTCCACAGCATGAAAAACAGGGAGGAAAGATTAATTATCCTGCCAGTTCCAACACCTCAAATTAGTCAACAAATCAAAAGTGTTTGTTACTGTACAGAAACAGTTTCAGAAATACTCATAAGCCCTGGATCCTAAATTAATGTGCAGTGTTTGCAGGGCTGTGTATCCTGTTGGAGAAGTGGGATACCTTCAACTCTGGCTACTTAAAAAAGCTCCTGGTGCCTGCACAGCAAACACTGGGCTGGCCCAGCCATGTGGGATAACCTGGAAGAGGCTTCAGGGGATTGATAATTTCCAGGAAGTTTCTCTTTGAAGATCTTATTCTGCACTGGGGGAAAACGCAAACCATTTGCAGCCTCCTGTAAATATTTGGGAAAGCAGGAAGCCCTGGTGGTTGTTTCTTCTTGCTCCTGTGTTGTATAACATGGATGAGCCCAGAACAGCCCCAGGCTGTGCAGACACTGAACCTGCTGCTCATGGGGACATTTAGAACATATTCCTGGAAAAGAATTGGGAGAGCCCACAGGAGCACAGTTCTGCAGCAGGGAGGGTGAGAGTAAAGCGTGAGTAGAAATGCCAAGTGATCCTTGGGGAAGTTCAGAGAAGAAGGGAAAATGCCAGTAACAATGAGGAGAAGATTAGACAAGGAATAAAGAATCTCCATCAGAATTGACTCAGTCCTCCTCAGAGTCACTTCTGAACCTTTCCCAGTCCAATTTTGAGGTTTTTAAGAGCTTCTAAAGGGCCAGGTGACATACTTAGGTGGACCTGCTTGGTTCAGCTGCCCAGCATTAATTAGGAAACTTCTTACTGCTCATCTGCATATCCCAGCCTTTATTTGGGTGTTCTGTTGTGGGCTGGTGGAAACAGTGGAGAACTGGAAACCATCCCTTGCCAGGGGCATCCCTGTCTGCACATTGGCATCTCTGGCTTTCCTCACTGCACCCAAGGAATCTGTTTTCAGAGCCAGTGTTCCTGCACTCTAATCCTCCTTTACCAGACTGTTACTGCAGTGATTTTCAGGCCTCTGGGTCATAAAAGAAAGATTTGGAGGTTTTAAGTTTGTATCAGGTTGAGGGCTTTGGGAGGACAGATTGTGTTCTGAGATACCGTGTGTCTGTGTCCGCTGATGCTGAGCGGAGGAATGGGCATATGGAGGTGTAATCCTGGAATTTTGGGAGCTGAGGGATTGTGTCAAGCTTACAGAGAAATTCCCTGTCTGGTGAGGGTGTTTTCTGATGAAACTGAGAGCTTCTGGGAATGTCATTCCCTGCTGCCTGCTGTGGTACTGTTCCTCCTCATGGAATCCTTTCTCTTGGGATACAAACGGATGGCAGACATTCCTTAAGGAAACCTTGCAGTGTTCCCATGAGAAGGTCAAGGTTTTTATCAAATGTGAAGCTTTAAAATATCCAAGATTCTGTAACTGAGGTCAGGGCAGGACATTGGCCACAAAACCTGTCCAGCCAGAGAGGAGGAGGAAGTGTTAAATATGAAGAAAAAGCTGAAGTCAGACACTGAATCTGATCTCTTACAGTTTGCTTGCACAAGTGGGCAAATTTGTCAGAAATGGCAGAAAATAGGTCTGGAAAGAACTCCAGGAAATGTCTGGTATCCATGTGCCCCAGGAGAGGGGAGGGAAGGGAGCTTGTTGTACCTGAACCTGTGTCTCGGAATGATCAGTCCCAGGGTGTAACTGTCCGTGGCAAGAGAGGACTGTTCCCATGGCTAACCTAAATCTCTTCTGCTGTAAATGAAGACATTTCTTTGTCAGCCTCCAGTGACTCCAGAGAGTTTTTATTATTGCCTTTCAGCACCCGTTTATGTGGCCACTGGCCGTGGGCTCGCTGTGACAGCAGGGCAGAGTGACCCTGAGGCTGAGCTTCCAGCCCTGAAGAAGTGAAAAGGGCAGTTAAACCTTTCTATATTCATCCTGTTCCCTGTGTAAAACTGTTCTGCTGTACATTCCTGGTGGTTAGGAGTTACTAATTTACCTGTAAGCTATTTTTATTAACCTTTAAAACAAACAGCTCCCCCCACACTCCCCCCAAAACACCCACACCCAACCCTCCTTCTGGTTATTTCTGGTGCCTTACAGAGGGTTTTGTAACGTGTCTCTCCTGCAGTGAAACCCACAGTGCTCAAACGAAGCTAAAAGGGAGATTTGACTCCAAACATTTTATGAACCACGAGTTTAACACTCAGAGGAGGCTTTAGGTCCTAACCCAGCTCTGTGTTTTGGTCTGGGTGAGGTTGAGCTGTTTGCTGGCTCCATTGGGTTTGTTTTAAGGGTGAAGTAAGTGGTTAAGAGAACAGTTTGTGACTTCAGTGCCATCAGCCCTGGGTACAGAGCAGCCCTGGGGCATGGCACACTCTCCCTTTCCCTGGAGAGCTCTGACCTGTGTGGCTGGGAGAGGAATCACATCGAGGGAGATCACCCGGAGTGAGACAGTTGTGCCCTGGCTCTGGCCAAGCCCTGAGGGGCTGTGACACCCTTGCAGTGCTTTCCCTCAGTGCTGGGCAGTGTTTGGGTGGGGAGCACAGCTCGGTGCCTCTGGGGAAAGCCCTTTCTTATCTCTGCCTTTCACGTCATCCCATCGTTCCTGTTTCCCAGCCAGGTATGAGAATTGCTTTAAACAAATGTTGTTTTTTTTTTCTGGCCATTAAGAAAATGCAAAGCAGCTTCTCCAGTTGCCTTGTCATCTCCAGCTCACTTTCAAAATGCTGCAATCAAGCAGTTTTTTATGACAGCCTGAAACAAAAGGAGGCTCAAAGGAATGGGGTGGGAGCCTGAATGTGAGAGGAGATGACACCAAAGGACTTTGTGGCCTCCTCGACATTCAAAGCAGAGAAAGTGGCCGAGGCACTAGAAGGCTCAGCTGGAGGTTGGGAAAGCAGGGACCTGCTGGGTTTGGCTGTCTGGGATTCATCCAGGTAACGTGGCAACCAAGGAAGATGTCACTGAGCCAGCACCTCACCCCATCTGGGGCTGGAATGTCACAGCCTGCTCTTTTGGAATAGGTTAAGAGACATCTCGGGAACTGCTGGCTGGAATTGCCAGTGCTGGTTGCTTCCTGCAGATCCCAGGTGCTGGCAGGCTTTGGTGAGGGCAGAACCCTGCTGAGGGACCAACCTCCATGGAAATGCTCGGCTAAGGAGGACTCTGGAATGCTTTGAGAAGGGATGCTTGTTACAAGGTCTGAGCATCGTTAAATGGCAATTTGGAAATAAATCTGTTTTTCTGAGTTCCACGGTGCTTTCCAAGGGGGTTTGTGAACTGAGGAAACACCACCTCATGATGCTGTGGCTGACTTGTCCTATCAACTTTCTAAACATCTTCTCCTCCTCAGTGTTGGGCATATTTATTAATTTTGCCTTTTCAGCCCCCTCCCTTCCTCGCTCCTGGGGAAGGAGGTGAGTATTCCTATCCTCATTTTATACTTTAGCAAATGCAGGATTTAATAATTTTTTCCTAGTTCCAAAGCAGTTACCTGAGAGAGGTAACTTAAGCATCCTGTGCCTCTAACCCCATTAGCAGCTTCCCTGAGGAGGATCAAATCCACAAGTGCACGAATCTGTACTTTGCATATAATTCCCGCTCAGCTCAATGCAGTTTCTGTTTACTCATCTGCAGACTGGAAATAATGATAATGCCAACCTGTCAGGCATTATCTGAAGCTTACAGTTGTATAAAAAATGCTAATAGTTGAAGGTGAAAGTCTTGCTGATGGAACATTGCTCCAGGCAGAAACAGGAGCAGAATCCTCGGGGTCGCCGTGTTGGCTCGTTTGCGAGGGCACCTCAAAGGGAGATGAGCCACGTTTTGTGGGGCCTGCTGGCATTGCTGGGCTGCTCCTGTGTTGCTGGGTTTGTGACTGTCCTTGTTCTGTGTTCCCTCCCCAGAGTCCCCCCCGGAGAGGTGCGGGCAGAGGCGCAGCATGCCCAGCGGGATCCCGGACAAGAACCCCACCATGGAACCCGCGGCCACGACGCCCTTCCGGGTCACGGTCAGTGCCACAGGACCTTAATGAGTGCCACAGGGCCTTAATGAGTGTTACAGGACCTTAATGAGTGCTACAGGATCTTAGAGAGTGTTACAGGATCCCAATGAGTGTCGTGGGGTTTTGCCACCAGGGAGAGGAACTTGCTCATCCCGAGAAAAGAGCTGCAGTGTTTCACTTGCAGTCAGACTGGTTGATGACTTACTTTTAAGTAACTGGGGTGGTGTTAGATACTCTTAGCAACTGTGACATATATCTTGGTTGACATTCAGGTCTTGTTGCTCTATCAGGAGCAGCTGTGGGTGAGTTGTTTCACTTGGGAGACCTTCCTGGAGAGGTTTCCTTGGTGAGTGCCAGTGCAGTGCACTCGTAGATGTAGTTACTGGCCTGCAGCTGCAGAGTGTCCTCATCCTCCTACAGAGGGAAACCCTCCTGTAGGAAAACCTGCCATCAGCTCCCAGGACACTGCCAAGCTGTGGTTCCCCAGAGCCTGGGATCCTCTCCCAGCAGGAGCCCAGAGGAGCCATTTGCTATTTGCCATGTCTTTCCATCCCTTTGCCCTGAGGTGCTCTGCTCATCCCTGATTTACTGTGTGTGAAGAATGGGAATTGTTTGGGAGTTGAAGGGAGCAACTCCACTGACAGGACTGACAGTGCTGCCAAAATCCAACAGGGCACAGGGGGTCTGGCTGCTCCGTGGGAAGGGCACTGTTGTGTCCCTTTTACAGCAACAAGGACCCAAGGAATGGGATCTGTTGGTGCTGAGCCCTGGCTCTGTTGCAGCCCAGCTCTGGAGCAGAGTGAGGAGTCTGAGCACAGGACTCCTCTCCCCACTCAGGAGTCTGGGCTGGCTCAGCTTTAGGAGACAGTCCCTGTCATCCTTGGGGACCAGCTCTGGAGTGAGTTAAAAGTCTTTGTTTCTCCTTTACTTGGAACATGCACAGTGGGTTTATCACTGATGTAAGTCCTCTCTCTAACTCCTGCAGACTTCTAGAGTGGATCACAGGGATTCTTACCCCAAGGGCTGTGTTATCTAACAAGTAATATCAAATCCAAGGAATGATTTAATTTAGGAGTACACCAAGCTGGCAGATGGAAGCACAGTGGTGAGATCAGAATAGATTTTTAAAAGTGGGCAACAAAGATGCAGCTGGGAGTGTTTGTGGAGGTTTTTTCCTAATGTATCTTCAGCCTGGACACATCTCTGGTTAATGCAACAGAATCTGGGGCTCTGTAACCAGCTGAAGTCACCACGTGCTTCTGGGTAACATTTAGGGTAACCTCAGGAATAGTAAAAGAGAAATCTAGGTAGGAATTTAAAAAGAATAAGTTCAAGCATAAAATATCCACAGCTGGAGGTGGATGCTCCCAGTAAGAGCCACAGCCAAGGCAATCAGCAGGTCCTGTTTTCAAGAGGAAATCATGGATAATCAGCTTGCACACAGGTATTTTTATTGAGAGAAGAGGCAAATGGCCTTGCAGGTGGTTTGCTCCAGACAGGTTTTCTCTGCAGGCCACACCTTCTTTACAGGCTCAGCTGCTGCACAACAAACCCAGGGAGGCAGAACCAGAATTTCAAAGGAAAGACAATGGTGCAATCTAAAAAAAAATCTGAGCACACCCAGTTCACCTGAGAACATTTGCACTGGTGAATGAGTCACGAGCAGCAGCTTGGACAAGGAGTTGATTTTAGTTCTATAAATTATGCCTTCCAACTATCAGAACCCATCTAGCTCAGTGAGTGAGTGTCTTTGGACCTTAAACAGCACACTACTTGGTGATGAAAAATGCAAAAGAAAAGATGGGAAAATGTGGATTCTTCACAAGACAGAGGATTTGGAAGTGTTTTTCCAAGTGTACTTTTAGTCAGGGGAAATAAAATGCTGTTTGTTCCTTTCCAATGGTGCATATCCTGCTTTTTTGGTTTTTTTTCAGAGAAGTTACTCCAGCTTTAAGCAGGTTATAGCCCTTGGGAGTGGAACACACGTGGGATGTGGTTGCTTTGAGCAGCTCTGTCTTCTGTGTGGGTTAAACAAGGGGAGTCATCACACAGGTGACACATGGCCTTTGTCTTCCCAGAATTAAAATCCACCATCACCTCATCTCTTTGCTGCTCAGCCCCAGGAATGCCACTGCATTAATATGAATGGTTCATTACTGCAGTTCTTAGGGCTGCCCAGATTCCAGCAGATGTCTGACTTAGGAAATACATTCTCCCTCCCCTCCCTTCATTAAGCAGAGGAACATTAGCAGTCAGTCCACTCCAGCCACGGGGAACAGTAATTAGTGCCTTAGTTTAGTGGGAATGGGATTATTACTTTGGAGCCTGCTGTTGTAGGTTTGGAGATTGTAAGTTTTTTCATATTTTACAGCTGATTGTTCTTCCCTGACATCTCCATCCTTCTGCTCTTGAGTCTCCAGGGGACTGGGAAGCTCAGAAGCCCTTGGGTTCAGCTGTTTTGACAGTGTTGAACTCTTCAGTTGCTTTCTTTCATTTCAAAACTAGGGTGGAAATTCAGGAACATCCCTTGGGAGCTCCCTTCCCCTACAGAAGTTTACCAGGCAAGTTACAGTTAATTGGGCATTGTGGTTTTGGAAAACAGGAGCTCATGGTAGTTTCTTGAATTATAGAATATAACCTTGAAATCAAGTCTTGAGATTCCTGTATCTTAATATGTGACCTGGCTGTTCTTACTCCTTCTACTGAAACAAAATTTTTAATTAAGCTTCTTAAACTTGAAAAAAAACCTTCCCTAGCCCCAGTTATGCTGTAAAATGATTGTTTCCCATGTAAATCCCTCAGTTAACTTCTGGGATAGCAGAGCTCTGCAGGATCTGAGGCAGGCAATGGATTCCAGACTAACCCAAGTGAACACTCCTGGGAGAGGTCCCTGCTCCTGCTCTGAGGAACAAGGGCAGTGCCCAGGTTTTAGTCTGTGAGTGGAGAACCAGGAGTGTGTTTCACATCCCATCTGTAGAAACAGTAGATCTGGTGTGTGTAGGTATAAAACTTAAACATAAGCAGGGAAATTCTGGATTTCTTGCATCACAAACACTCATGGAAGGACTGCCTGTCCTCACAGCCTGTGTGCAGGAGGCAGCTTTGGAGTTCAGTGGCCTTGTTGGAATCCTTTGTGCTCATCACCATCCTGCCCCTTGAACAGAGAGACCTAATTAAGGAGTGCTTCAGGAAAAGTCAATATATAAGGACAGGAAAAGAAAGGCAAAGCTTGACTTAGGATGAGATGTCAGTAAAAGTGTTTTCTGAGGCAGGGACCCAGAGTTGTCTCCACTGTCAGTGGACAACTGGCAGCAGCTGCTGATCTCAAGTGCTGGAGCCTCCTCTGTGCCCAAGGGAGGTGGGAAAGCCTTGGGTTGGCTGGAATTTGCCTTTCCAGGACTAGAGAGGAGCATTGAATCCAAACAGCCTGAGGTGTGACGTGGGCTAAACCCAAAAACTGTGTGGTATTTTATCCAGCCCAGGGGATGAGAAAGTCTGCTGGGTGCTAATGAAATCCTCTCACTGTGCCCACCTCGCAGGGAAATCACGAGCAGGGGGGGGTTGCTGAGGCTCCCTGAGTGAGGACTCTCTCCCATCCCATCAAGCACTGCCATCTATTGACTCCTTCTGTTAGAGCCAGGTTTATCTGGTTTTCTGGGAAAATATCCCAGGCCAAGCAAAGTCCAAATTGCCAAAGAACTTGTGCAGAAAGATTGGACCAAGTGATTGGATGAAGAAACCAGAATGATTCCTTGCTGTTACTCCACCTCACTGGCTGTGCAAGGACCCTCCTTCCAGAGGGAATCAATGTAAAGTGTACTCTGAATATTTTTAAAAGGTTTGAAAATGCCTCTCTGCCTTTCCCCCAGAGCTGTGTCTGAGGAAGCATCTGTATCCTGTCTTTTACTAGATAGGATTTAGGATTTCTTGTCTCCAGACCTTTAATCCTCAGTTCTGGTATCACCAGGACCATCAAAACCACTTCTGTGCTCCTTGTGGTTGAAGCCACATTGGCTACCAAAAAAAAACCCCTCAAACCAAAACACATGGCAGGTCTAAGCTACACAATCCAGGGAATTGTGTGAATTGGATTGGGAAGGAAACAATTCTCAGAGAAGTTTCAAAGGCCAAGCCCAGCACTGGACACACACTCTCCAGTGGTTCATTGTCAGCCAAGAGGATCATTTTCCCAGATTTTCCTCATTTTCCCATTATTATTTCCTTCATCACCTGCTTGGTGTCTGTGGTTCTGCACATGGGATGGGATGTCTTGGAGCAGGAGCTCTCCTTCATGGTCCACGTGTCGTTCCTCTGCTTTTCAGGATCTTTAATAATGCAGCATTTATAGTCACAGAGAAATGGGACATTTCTGAGGTGTTGGTTCTCCTCCTGCCTGGAACTGGCCTTGTTCTCCTGCAGTTTTCCTGCCTCTTTGGGCTGGCACACAGCTGGGTGTGCAGTGATACATCCTAAGCTACTCTCGTGGCATTCCTCCATCCATCCTGGGTTTAATCCTTGATAAATGAGGTATTAAATACTAATGGCAGTAAATGGAAACTCCTGGAGAGATGAAAGTGAGGAGCCCTTCTGCCATTCCTCTTCACTGAACATAATCCTAAATAATGGGATCCAAGTTCAAGCTGCTGTGGACAAGATATTGAAGGATTTTTTTTCCCAAGTTTTTGCCTGTCCATAAGACACACTATTTTCCATTTTAATTTTCTTCTTTTTTTTTCTGAAAACAGTCATGTAAATTATATTATAATGATTTGACTTTGGAGAATTTCTCCTCCTGTGTGATGTGGAGGGTGGAATGGCCCTTCCCTGGGTGTGATCACCCAGCTTTAATTGAAATGTAATTGTTTACCAAACCATTGCAGCTCGAGGGGAAAATTACTGTCATTTTGGGCTGTGGCTGCACACATTAAAGTGTCCCTTCCACAGGGCCTGGATTGAAGGAGAGCAGAAACGTTATCACCACTGATATATAAACATCAAACCATTAT